CTGCCGCCGCGCCCCGCCCCCGCCTCCCGCTGCCCAATGGCGCACAATGGAGGGAAGGCGCGGCCCCGCCCCCCCGCGCGCGGGCGCTGTGTGTACAAACACAAAAGACACGCCGCGCACCCTGAGCAGCCCCGCGCCGTGCAGTGCCGGGGGATTCCCTCCCCCCCCGGCGCTCGGCCGTTGGTGGCGCCCAACCGCTGGGGCCCCGCGCGCGGGGTGACCAACGGCCGCCCCCACCTGTGCCTGCCCCTCCCCTCCCGGCCTGGCAGCAGAGAGGTCCGGTAGTCTGTGGCACTGTGGCTGGGCTTCTGCCCCCTGTGGAAGTCAGTGGAGCTGGATCCACTGAGCTTAATGGGAGGAGAGCCCCCACCGCATTGGTAGTGAGGTCCACCATGAGCTTGCCCCAGAGGTTATGGCAGGGGTTAGCCACGTTTTTGGGTGCTGGCAAAAAAAGTGCAACCTCATTTGTAAGATGTCATTGTGCCAGGGCCAGATGTCAATGAAGCTGTGAGGGGCCTGATTAGGGCGGCCATCATAGAGGGCATTGCAGTTCTCTGCTACTTTGTCCTCTATGGATACAAAACCCCACGCCTTTATGTCTTATATTCTCTTCTCTTGAAGAGAAAAATAGAGGACATACAGGCATCCAGTTTTGTATCAATGGAAGACAACCCAGCTGTCCTCTATGATGGCCACCCTAGGCTTGATCCTTGTTGTGGCGGCACAGCTCTGTCCCCTTCCCAGCGGTGTACTGTGTTCTCCGGTGCCCGGAGGCCAATGCTTGATTTGCACCCCCTGTCAGTGGATGATCACCAAGCCGACAGGGTGGGGGCCCTGGCGACTGATCACTAAGCCTGAAAACGGCAGCAGTGAAACTGGAATTGCCACTAGGGGACTGAATACCCCCTGGAGGGCCTGGCTGATGCACTCCCTGCCCAGGCCGGCGCCCAGGGACATGGCCGCCCCTCACCCCTGCCATCAGTACGCTACTGCCCCATTCCCCACCATCCATCTTGAGGCGTGCATACCAAGCAAAATGCCAGGGGTTGCCTATAGTGACGTGATGTGATGTGGCCATTGCTGGTGCCTTGTAGGGCACTGATGCCCAGCACAGTTCACAGCGACTCCTAAGTCCGGTTGCCAACTCTGTTGGAATTTATTCCAGGAGGTTTCCAGACCGCCAGTGTGCCCGCAACAGTGCAAATGTGCCCATGTGCTTGTGTATAGCACTTACAGATTACAATGCATAGACTCTTATGTCAGGAAGGCACGTGACTAGGACATCTAAAAAAACCCACTGGACTGCTGCATGAAATCAGATTCAATATTTCATATTTCTTTAATGAATGCCCCATCTTTTATCTCCAAAGTGACTCTCAGCAGTCTCTTGGCAATTTATATCTAATTCCTAGAGACTCCAGGGCAATTCTGGATGGTTGGCAACCCTACTCCCAAGCTACCTAAGATGCTTTGGGCACCTTATGTTCCCCCACCCAAGCACATGGGCAAACTTCAGCCACTTCAGCTTCAGAGGAAGGAGCCCCAGGGACTGAATTGTCCTTGATGCCACCACAGCTGGAGGGTGTGCAAAGTTGGACAGCTGCTTCAATAGTCCCTCTAAAGGGAATATTTAAGGAAGATTGTATGCAACTCCATCAAATGGGCCCAACTCTGAAGTCAATCCCAAATCAGCTGTTTCAGGGGAGTCACATATCTGGCCTGCGGACCAGATCTGGCCCATGGATCTGTCTCCCCCAAGCCAAGGAACTGAGTTATGTAGTCGCTGGACTTGTATCCTGGTTCTGGCTGCAGCGGTGGGGCATCCCATGGCACCTTAGTGAGACTTAAGGCTGTAGCAGCACCATGGGCAGAATCCCTGCCACTGTAATCAAAGCCAGGGTGACCCATGGGCATCTGGAAAGCAGGGAATGCGGCCCTCCGAGTAACTTGAGTTTTTACTGAAAACATGAGACACATTTAAAAGACCCTCAAAGATCATCCACACTGAAAGGGTCATCTCGCTTTCTTCAAAATGAGGTTTTGTAGACCTGGACCTGAGAGACTAGGAAAGGGAATCAGTGGTGAAATGCTGGGCTTTGAAGAAGGCTATGGGAAAAATATGGTTGTGATTTGAAAAGAGTGGGGGAGAGAGAGATATTCCACATGGGAATGAGAGGGATGGACCACTCCTGTGGGGCTGTTCCAACTCTGAAGTGCCATTAGGATCACAAAAACATTTGCAAAAATGACATTTTCTTACCCAACAGATCAAATCACTGTGTTTATTTAGTTACACCTGCTGCCTTATTGTTTAATGAGCAAAGACATTTTCATTTTATAGTTCAGTTATACTGAGAAGCTAAAACATCTATGGGGGAGTGAGTTAGGTTCTGTTCTGAATTGTCCATCATCCATACATTTGTTAGCTAAATTTCAGCTGTATTTTGTAATCCCTGTTGTCTTCAGATATACTGGTGTAACTAAGAGTGCAATGTGAGATGCAGGATCTTTACTAAAGGGGAAGCTTGACTAAAAGGGGAGGATGAGTTGGTGAAGCTGACATTTAGAAAGAAGCTTCTTTTTACTTGTAAATGAGGAAGAAAACTTTACCATCACTTTACCAGTCAAATTTTTAAGAAGGAGTGCTGTTTTTGGAACAGCCAGGACAAGGGCCCAAAGCTAAATAATTAAATCATTACACCATAGGCTGTTGTACAAAGATCATATAAAATAATGCTTACTTTAACATTATTAGCAATATGGTACAAAACAGACTTTAATGACATGCTGAAAAAAAACCAAGGCCATTCTCACAGCCAATTATTAAACCAAGAGAAAATGTCCTGCTTAAGGTCATTATTGTTGCTCATAATAATAAAAATACGAAAATGGTAAAAAAAGGTAAAAAATAAAGTGACTCTGCTTTCATGTGTTGTAACATTGCCCTGAACATGGAGTTCTGTTTACTATACAGGTCTATACAATGCACCCTTGTTAACATGAAAAAACCCATTGATTTCAGAGGGAATTCTCGTGTACTGAACGAATTGCAAGAATTAACCTATATATTACACTGTAGCAGACGAGGAAAAGCTGTATTCTCAGGGTGCCATTATCTTTAATATAATTGATATTAGTAGTAAAATATGCATAACTCGGGCTCAACATTGCTGTGAGTGATACCTTTTTCTGTTTTCCTAGCGAGAAGCTCTCCCATTGGTGGAAATGCCATGGAATTCCATGATGTCATGGAGGGGGTGGGGGCTGGGAGGAAGCAAATTTTCTGTCTCAGCTGGCTCAGTCTGTCTCTGGCTCTTGACCTTGCTGCTTCTCTTGGCTCTCAAGATGCAATGCACAGTTCCTTTCCTCTCTCATGGGTCCAAAACAAACAGTTCAGGAGATAATGAATGAAAGAAGCATCTACAAGCCAAACCTTGATCAGGGAAAAAGAGGAAATCAAATGCTTCTTTATCTATCCGGGAGGACTTCACAGCTGCTTGCTGTTATCCTGCTGATAGCTCTTATTGAACTAAAGTCTTAA